GCCTCAGCTTCCAGCCTTAAGGGGAAAACTGCCAGAGACATTCACCGCTTACGGAGGAAAAAGGATGATGGTAAGGAACCCACGGAGACGCCGCTCAACAGACTCTTCATCCAAAGAATACATTATGGTCGAGCCGAAGCAGCAGAAGTCACGAACATGATGGGGATCATGGGGCCGTCACGTTCTGACATTCCCCGCAGAGCTGCCACGGATCAGGATCGTACTCCCTAAGCACTTCAGAAAGAGCCACCGCGTTGTGGCCTCCGGCTTTTGTACGATGCAGGAGCCTATGTATGGGCGGATGGGGTTGATGTCATGGGGCTGAAAGGGGCTCGGGGTGTGGAGTTGCGATTTCTGTTTTCGGCAATGAGCATCTGGCATAACGGACGGCACAATGGGTCCCAGGGCAGGGACCATTAGGGACAGCACAAACCACCCGAAAACCAGGCCCGCCTCCTGTGCTAAGTTCTCCCTGCCTTGCCTTCCAGCCAAGAGCTCACCAGAGCTCACTTATCGATGGTATTCTTTCGAAAGTTGCCGCATGCATCACCCTGGGGGGACAGGAGCGCCGATGAAAAAGAAGTGTCGCACGCAGAATTGCCCAAGGCTTTGGCACCCACCAGCCATGGAACGATGCAGTTCTGCATCTTCGATTCACTGATGATGTGGTTCTTTTCTCATTAGCACGTTGTTTTGCCGGCACTGTTTCGCTCAACTTTTGAAGCTCAACTTTTTTGGATTTCGATGTGTGTGAGCAACTCCTCTCGTCTCGCGAGGTTGGACATGTGCCTTGACCTTAACTCCTGCCAAGTGAGCCTCCACTGCAAGAGCTTCTGCCGTCCTCCGCTCCGCATTGGAGTGCTCCAAGACATTTCTTGCGGTCCATTCTGCTTGGCAGATTCAGCAGATGGCGGGCTATTGACCTTCCAGCACAAGACTGGCAGCGAGCATGTTTGTTTCGGTTGCATGATTTACGTCAAGTGGCATGGCCGAATTCGCGCGTTTTGCCTGCATTGTTTCCTATCAACAACCTTCAGTTCATTCCGTTCGTTGAATTCGCAAAAGCAGCTTGGAAGCTGTTTTCCAGCATTGCGCTCGGCCGAAGGCTCCGGTTCAAGCTTTGCCCAAAGACCGCAAACAGTGCGATGGTGTCTTCGGCGCTTCGTGTGCCAGTCGGGCTTGCTCCTTGCCCGTGCTCCGCAGGCTGGGGTGACGGCAGAAGCACGTGCCGAAGCCGTTCGTACCCGAAGCACGAGCAGTCTAACTACGGCAGAGGCTACAGACAGCACTCCTACTCTCGAAGTGGCAAAGGAGGCTACGGAGGGTTCGGCAGCGGCAACAGCATGGCCGAAGCGGTGGCATTTCTGGCATATGGTCTGGGCAAGTGAACAAGCCGCCGGTGTCACCGAGGCCGTTCTTCCTCTGTTTTTTTCCCGCTCCCGTTCTTCCGTCGCACGTGCCGCAGGGATCCGCAGGGCATCTTCTTCTGCAACGCGTAAAGAACTCGAGGAGCTCAAGCGCCACAGATAGGAAGAGGCTGCTAGGACCAGGAGGGCGGCTGAGCAGAAACAAAAACAAAAAATGATGCTAACAAGCAGCACTTCAAAGAGCTCGAAAAGCGTCTCTTGGGTGCGATTCCGACGCTACATTCTGCCAAAACTCGGGCCAGTGCTCCCAAGAGCTCTACATGAGCTGCAGGCCACAGTGGGCCACAAGTGTCCATGTCCAGCTCAGTTGCAAAACTCATCGAGGCTCTGACAGGCAAGCGCGTCTGCTGCAAGCATTTCTCCTCTTGGGGTGAGCAACAGCAGCTGCTGATCCGGATTCTTTTGGTGCTTTCTCATGGATCATCGCGTACGGGAGCTCTGTACGCACCATCGCATGGGATTGCAGTGCGTTTTCCCAATGGCTGCAGCATGCTCGCGGGTGCCAGATCTATACAGCCTCCAATTGCATTATTTTCCTAGGTTGGGGTGTTGCGGGAAACTGCGCAGGTGGCTATTAGAAACTGGTTCTTGCCGGAAGCTGCAGCGCCAAGATCACGGCCGCCCCTAAAGCATCCTAAAGCAGACTTGATCAGACCCTGGGTCGAGTTTTGATACTGTCCTTGCAAGTGATGATTGTGTCGTCTGCGGGTGAGTGCAAGGGACGTGTCAGAGCCGCCCAGCTCCCTCAGAGCGAAGTCTTTCAGCGATGATCGTTTATCTCTGATGACTCCTGATGAGTGAACCAGTGAGCCAGTTGACCTCTGCACTAGTGTTCAGGAGCGCTGTGTGCAGAAGCGCATTCCGCAGCTCCTTGTCGCTTAGGCCGGCGCTTAAGCCCGAAAGCGGGCGCACATGGCTATGGGTGCAAGGAGTCCGAAGCAGAAACGCCATGCCTTTTGAGTTTGCTTTGCATGCATCAATGTAAACAAAGCATGCCCTTCGGAAAATCGAGGCAAAGGCTCTGCGAACCGCTGGACGCTACTGGTTTGCCCATGTTGTCCTCAGGATAGTACTACTTAACATTTAGTTAATGACGGTTGCCTGTGTGACGTGTCCGGTGAATGACCGGGCCGTTCACATCCTGCTTGGCGCACATGCCGGTGCGTGGCTGATGGCAGTCTGAGCACGCCACCTCGAGGGATCGGCAGGCAATGCAGTTGGCCCTGCGCCGCCACTTGCACCTTCCCGGTCGCTGCAGCCTGACGCCGGCGTGCGGATGCTCGTTGCACGACAGGCAGTGAGCCCACATGATCGACGCCGCTCGAACGCTCGAACCTGGTCGTTTACGGCACGTCGCCTACACAGTATGGGTTGCCATGCAGTCTCCACATGAGTCGCCGCCGAGTTCGACGAAGGCGGCCCGCGGAGACTGGTGCCTGAAATCGCAAGGCGCAAGGCGGCAGAATACCAAGACAGCGCGAGTGTTGCAAAACCATGTCCTCCGGGCAATGTCCTGGAGATCCGATCGTACCGCACCCCGCGAGGAAGTGGCGCAGGTGGAGCCAAGTTTCAGTCGCCTTTGAACCTTCGACCGCATTAAGCAACAATTCGCACGAGCCATGATAATGTATGCTCGGGAAGCGCCCCGTTGGCAGTCAAGGAATTCCCGCGTTTTGGAGGGCGGTGGGGCTCTTGCTTGGACGACCAGGGTGTCGCACCAAAACGCCCAGTGTGCCGCGAGGCGGTCTGCTGCACCATGGTGCCACGTTCGAGCAGCGTGGCTAAGCAACGTGAAGCCGCAGGTTCCTGCCGAAGTTCGCAGCATTTCTTGGATCTGAAACCGCAGTGTCTTCGGTTGTTGTAGTGGCCGAAAATGAGACCCGAAAGAAAAATAACTTTTCAATTCTTCGGCGCAAACGTTGCCAAAGCAGAATTTGAATTTCATCTCGGCATATTCCGGGCATCACGGAATATCCCGGAGCTTGCAAAGCCGGTGTGCCGGTAACTTCCATGTCACGAAGGAAGTCCGAACTCGAAGCCTCGAAGCTCTCCGCTCCTCCGGCCTTCATCTTCGTGCTCTCCTCGCCCGGATCAGGTACTTGTACCCGGAGGCATCCGGGTCCCAGCAAGTTGCGCTGTAGCTGGCACAATGTGTTGCCAAGGGCGGCTCATCGAATTCCTGCGCAGCTGTGCGAATACGTCTTACTTGGAGCTCGTCGCGATCCTGACAGCTCCGGTCAATCGCCGCTTCCGGCAGACGTGCAATGCATCCGGCAATCGGGCCTTTTACGGCGGTCCTGACTGCCCATGCCTTCCCCAGCAAGCTGGGTGCTTCATGGAATGGTAGTGGGACAAGGCTTTGCTGCCCAAGAATTTTGATTTGGTCCAACACCTTTTTTCGGTTCGGAAACCCGTGGCTTTGCGGCCTGGCAGTGCCAGAAAGTGTGCGCAGCATGCTTTCCGCTGGTGGCGCAGATCGATCGCGGTCGTATTTGCAAAGAGGCCACCAGCCGAAATCGGGCTGATGTCACAGGGCCGCAGTCCGTGCTCAGCTTGACGAACACTGATCCGCGACAGTTTCGTCGATTCGTGTGCACTTGCCTTGCCCAGCGAAGAGGAAACAGGCCCTACAGACCCTGAAACCCCCAAAAACCGCCACTAGCTCCAAAACCACCCTTTTTTGGACCGCAAGGGCTTTAAAACGTCAGTCTACTGCGCTGGCATCAGTTACCTCACGAATCAGGAGCTGACCTCCGACAAGGCGGGGTGAAGGCGAAGCCAAGGTCGGGACTTGAAATCGTATCTGACTAAGGTTTTGGGGGGGTTTAAGGGGTGTTGGGGGAATCTAGTTTGAAATCGAACTAGCTAGGGTTTTGAAAGGAGGGGGTTAAAAGCTTAGGCGGTGTTGGGGGGTTTAAGGGGTTTGGGCTTAAGGGTTTTACTGATTCACCTCTATGTGTATCCTGCCACGACTTGCAGGAAAAGCAAGCAAAAGCGGGGAGTGGCATTGAGTTTGTTAGATTCTGTTGCAATGTAAGTCGTCGCACAACGGAATCTGAGGGGATCATTGATAGATGATAGAGGCTATGTTGTAGGACTGGGTCCTAGGATGTGTAGCCGGGAGTAGAGACAGGATAACATGCGGTTGGAAATTATGTTTCATGATACCATCATGTTTATTTCTGGCTAAGATGTGGGTTCTACAATGTTGCAGATTTTGCCGATGGTGATGCGTATGTTCACCATTCAAGAACTCCTTTAAGTGTTATGTATATACGCATATACACCTACATATGTATATGCATATTCATAAACCTGTGTCATTCATATTCCTATCTACACAAGTACACGTCGGTTCGATCATTGGTGGGGTGACCTGGAACTACAGGACAATGGCACTCCCTCGCTGGAGAATGCGAGCCTTCTGCCAGTGTGCCGCAGAACTGCAGAGTTACATCCTCGGTGGAGTCCATTATTGATCCTTTCGTGGGAGCCGGACTCAAGCAGAACCGGGGATTCATTGAACATCTGTTGATCGCAATTCCCAGGTTTATCCCCCAGTCCTGTTGTCCCTCAACCACCTTCTGCACGCAGTTTGGACGCAGACATCCTGGACACATCCGCACCACCAACCCGAAAGCATTCCAACCGTAACCCCCACATCGCCAGGTTCCTACAAACCCTGCCAAGCCAGCCCTTACCACAAAAGGATCTTCCCAAACGTGCAGAACGCACCCTGAGAGTGCTACATTCGTGTCGGAAGCTCAAAGCTGCAGGGCAGTGTTCGATCCAACATTCTATAACCGAGACCGGTAGACCCGAACACACTGCATGTGCAAAGGTGTCTCCTGTCTTCGGTTGCAAGCCCGAAAGCCCCAGACCCTCGCAGCGTACCTATCCGGAGGCTGGAAAGCCCTTGACCCGGGCCCCTGCTTGGCGCTCGCGGCGCCCAGTGCCTCAAAGCGAACCGGCGTCCCGATTCCGTGTTCTCGGCTTGGGGTTTTCGGAGTGCTGCGAGTTTGGAGCGTTCAGCTTGGAATCGAGGCAACGCGGGGTGAGGACCAGCCTCTAAGGCTTCATTGAGGTATTTGGAGCCTCTCTCCGTCGCGAGATTAGATTAACAAAGGTTTCTAAACTACAGATATAACAACGCTAAGTCCTCCACTCTATAGTCTATTGGAATTCCACATTCTAGACCCTAGGCCCTACCCCCAATCCCGGATTACACCCGAGACTCGCACCCAGAAAGCCGCCGCCCCTCATCGAAGCTCAGACTAAGCCAAAGGCAAGGAATCCGTCTTGGAGCTCCTTGCGCAGACCCCAGTCCTTAGTTGCGCAAACGCTTCCGAGCTGCGGTTTGGAGTCTTAGAGCTTTGTGGCGGGCCTAGTTAAGTTCTGAGGGTAGCTGCTCTTGGAAAACTCCTAAATCGTAACCTCATGTCTACCTATCCATGCACCTGCAAACCGAGTTTCGGCACCGTTGTTGCTCCTCTCTTTGATTCTCTCACTCAAAGAAGTCCCAGCGAGTGTAAGGTCGCGGCCGACACGCGGCCAATGATCACCAGGCGACTGGTGGCGGGTTGCAGGTCGGACGCCTTTCTCAACATCCAAGAGCAAAACCTAGAACTACACGACCGTGAAGGGCTACTGCCGCTTCTGCGGGCTTTCACATAGAACCGGCATGAGACTGAGGTTTGCTTCTTTCGTTTATGTATACTCTTGAAGAACAAACCGCAACTCAAACACGCCAGCTGCACATCGGAGACGTCAATGTGCCCGCCTACCTCGGCAGTCAAAGAGGGCTCAGAGATTCACACGGAAGGCAAAAAATCCCACGGAGCTCGAAACGTAGCACGAAACGCAAGCTAAGAACCTCGAGCCTGAATCCAACGGCTTCAAGCCACCTTGGAACAATTCTCGAACTTCAGGGATTCCGGCTCAAAGACGCCCCAAGACCACGGTGGCCACTAATCTAAAGCCTGAACTTATCCCGAAAGTCGACACCTTCCTGACAGATTGCGTGTGCAAATATATCCCGAACCCCCAAACCCAAAGCCCAAAAATGCCAAAAGCCTCTGGAACCTGTCGGCACCCCGAGTCTCGCACACCTTGCACCACGAGGCAGCTTGCCTGCCCGAAACCCGAAGGCCAGACGGCTACATGGGACATCACCCGAACTGATGCCAAAGACGCACGGAGGCCAAAAAGCCCAAAACCCCAAACCCAGAGATTCCCAATCCTTGAAACACATAAGCCACAAGCCTACGAGTCTGTGATTGATAAAGCCTGCTCTGTCAGGGAGCCAAGGCCTAGTCAGAGTTCCTAAATCCGATAAGGGAAGCGCCAAAGCCTAAACACCCCTATCCCGCCCTTGGAGCCCTTTGCAATTTTCGGGATCGGGGCCAAGGGCCTTAAGGCTTCGAAGCAGAGGCATCGTGCACTCGGTCCGTCGGTCGGTTTGGCTCTCTGTCTCTGTCTACATACATAGACAGACAGACAGACAGACAGACAGTCAGACACTACATATTTCTCATCGCATCTCATCGCTCTCTTCGCTTCCCGGCTATCTGTTTCCAGAAAGGTCATAACGGAATCATCTCGGAACTTACGTCAAAATGCTGCTTCACCTGGACAGGCAGAATCAGAAGCCTTCGCCTTTTCTCGCGCTGTGCTTTGCCCGTCTTGCCATGGCTCCAGACGGTGGGTGCAGTCTACTTGCGCGATTACGGTTTCACAAAACTCTCACAAGTCCATCTTCACCTCTATCCAGTAAGCACTGAGAACTTAAAGTCCGAAACCCTGAAACGCTCTTTGTGCAGAATGGGCAACGCCGAAAAGCGTCCATACTCTCTGAGTCGACCGCAAACAACCTGACAAAACCCACGCATTGCTGCTGCGAAGCCTGAACCTGAAGACAACAAACACCACTCAACATTCGTCACGACGTCATGCGTGCATAGATGCGCCAGTGTGTGTGTGTGTGTGTGTGTGTGCATGCACGACATGCACGACGCAGGCATGGATGGATATGTGCACAGATTGCACGTACACATGCATGCAGATTTGTGCTTGTTGCTTACAAGGTGATCCTCTATGAACAGTCCCCATCTGTGTAAGAATACGGTGACCTGCAGCCTCAGTCCGGGCCATGTCTTCGACCTGCCGAGGGTCGCTGCCATCACGTGGCCCGGGAATCTCAGACTGCCGGGCCCCGGAAAACTTCTGCCGGCCACTGGAAGCTGTCGATTTGCGAGTTCCTGTCAATTGCTTTGCCGCCGTGGGTTCGGTACTGGGCCGTGGTTCGCATCCATGCGCAACCACATATCAATGGTCAAAGTGCCGCATATGCCTCTTCATGTTTCTGGTCTGGCCTGCATCGCAGGTGCGGATAGGAGGCATAGGGGCCTGAATAATTTCAACAGGAATTGGGGTTCGCTAAACCGCTTAACGCAAGAAACAAGAAGGCTGTACGGGCAATATGCTACGAAATCTTGGGGCTCTTTGTCGGGAGTGGGGGCTGTCGAAGTCATGCTGTTTGCGAGGCGACAGGTTCGGTGGCTCACAGGACGCAATCGGGGCGCAGAGTACATGCAGCATTCATGGCACCCAGCCAACGGCCTCTCAGAATGAACTTTAAGTCGAACGCAGTGTGTAGGGTTGTGTGCTACCTGTGCTTCCCGGATTTTTGCATGGTGATAGGTAGGGAGATGAGGTCAAGATGCTTACATATGCTTATAGCTAATGTCACAAATGTACCTACAACCCCAGTTGCAAAACCCTTGTACAGGCTGCGAAACCCAGCAAGAGGTCCTTTCTCAAACCGTGACATATCTGAAAGGCCGTTGGAGCCCTCGCTCTTTGCGACGGCTTCAGCATACCGTCAATCGCTGCAGGCTACGGTGGCCCGAGCTTGTCACAGATGCTCCGAGTATCAAACTGGGCTCCTGAAAGGGATGCTCTACCTGCGGTTTGGCTTAACTTTGATCACCCCTTTCAGGGGTTCGGGTCTCATGGCTTCTGTGTCGCTGAGGCTTAACCAGAAACCTCTCGACGCTTCAAGACCAAAAAAACTGAAGATGTAGGCTTTCGGCCTGAACCCTTCTGATTAGAAAAACCTTGGTGAAGAAGAAACCTCCAGATGTTGCAAGGTACGAACTCGCCCTTCCAAGCTCCCGAATCACGCGGAACGCGGGAGCCTTGAGTTCTGGGCTGCGGCTAAGGTTCAGGGACGAGGTTTGTGGCTCAGGTCCTAACTTTGGGCTTAACTTTAGCGCCTGTTTAGGGTTCGTGCTTCAGGTTCATGATTTATAAGCTTCTGAGGTTTAAGATTTAAGGTTCGGGTTTTGGACTTGAAGCGTTAAGACGGCATGTTCGAGAATGCTGGAAGCCGAAGGTATGATTACATGCAGGAGCTTTCTCACAGAGACACTTGAAAAAGGCACATCTTGACTTCAAGCAGCCCCGTACAACTACAAATCTCGGATTCCAGGGGCCCAAGCCATTCGAACTACGAAGAGAAGCTGATTCCGAAAGGCTGTCCAACGAACGACTGATGTGTCGCCTTTTTCTACAAAACATCACCTTTTCGGCATGTACCAGTATATGTGGATGTGTGGGCATGCGGGTGCGCACGTGCCACACGAGTACGTAGACGTACGTAGACATACGCATATATATGTATATATATATATACATACATACATACATACATACATACATACATGCATGCATGCAGACATACATATATCCTGGCTTTAGCCTGTCTACCATGGATCTGCGCAATCGCTTTTTCGGAATCAGCCAGCGGCCGTCGGAGTTGGCGCCGAAGCGGCACCCCCCAAAGACCCGCCGCGAGGGAACGTCCAAGAACATGAAGATAAGGGAGCGGTTTGTGAAATTACGATTGGGGTTTAATTTGGAACACTCTCCCAGGTAGCCCCGCTATATACTTATAGGAGTTTGGGGCCTCAGGCTCTGGTTGCGGATCTGAGTGACCACATAAACTTTAAAGAGCGACAAGGGACTCTGCAATTATGATTGCATGCTCAGGAAGCAAGCTCTGTGACAGAGAGATGTGCTTGAAGATGACAACTTGCGAGACACAACTGAGGTGAAGGAGTCAACGCTGCAGCCCTATCGTGGAAAGACCAGACACGAAAGCCTCAAGAGCTAAAGCCTGCCCCCGAGAATAAACTAGACTATGCTGTCTCAGCATACCCATCGCTGAAGAGTCAAAACCGCTCCCTTTGAATTAATGATGCCGCTACAACTGCTCAGCAGCGCTGCTGTGCATTTTGTCACCCTTGCGGCTTTATTTCGCCACGGCCCGGAACCTGGGCAGTACTCTCACTGTACTCTCTAAACACGTTCGGAAAGCGAGGAGAACCGCTGGGACAGGATAGCTTCACGCAATCGCCTACGGCTTATGAGCTGAGGGGATGCGGTGTAATAACAGTTTTTTCGCAAATCCGCTCTACATGTAGTAAGCAATGAAAAAAGCAGGAAAATTAGTCGGGAGGCATGGGACCTTAATGGGACCTGAATGAGTCTGAAGTTTCACCCTCAACCCTTTCGCGAGCCGTCAAGCCGTCAACATCAAGGTCAGGGAACGCATCGACGAACTCCTCAGGGGGCTGCGCACCAGAGATCTGCTGCGCCTTCCTCGTCAAGACATTTCTTTCGAAAACGTTGCAGCTAGGGGCTGTCACCATTTCGACAGCTGGAGGTTTCAAAACTTTGCTCTCTGGCTCGACAGGACGATCCATGAAGCTCCTCTCAGAACGTCGGGCACGAAGGGTTCAGCCTCCTTACTGTTTCTGTTCTGGCTCTTGCTTTGTTCGTTTGGCTTTTGGGGCCCAACGCTTCTTCAGGAAGACCGAAGCCTGAACCGACTGAACCACCAAGCTGTCTGCAACCCGGGCGCGAAGATCCATCTGCCCGAATCACGAAGTGAGGCACTCCGCGCACCTCGGATGCGGGATTTCAAGCTCCGAACTCGCTCCGACTGATCGGTGGAGTGGCTGGGTCTAGATGCGCAGAAGGTAGGGCCGCATCCAGGGGGTTACTCGGTCTGCATCAGGAATGGGCACCCCTTTCCCTCGCTTCCCAAACAGTTACAGTAGCTGTAGCTGTCACAGCGAGGTAGCCACGTAGAAGGCTTCAAAGATTCTGGACTGGAGTGTCCGAATCGAACAGGGTCTAAATAAGTTCCTTAAAGGGATCTACACTTACAAGGGCTTCTATAAGGGTACGAGAAGGTTTAGGGTACAGAGCTCCGACCAAACTGCAGCACAAAGGGCGCGAAGCCGCTGCCCGACCTTGAGCTCCTGAATGCCAGCTGCAGCTCTGAAGTCTCTTAGCTTTTCACGGACCTTCTTCCGACTTGTCTTCTAAAGAATTCCACGCCCAGAAAAAGGGAACCCGACACGGATGAACCGTCAGGGAAGAACTAGCCTGCAAAGCTGCTGAAGCTTAAACCCTGAACCCCAAACTTTGCGATGGCTCCTCCTTCACCTCTGCTGCAGCCAGGGACTTGTCGGCGACCCTGGGCCCCATCAGCTCGAATTTGGGGTTAGCCCTTTATTGCAGGGGCATGAAATGCCTAAAAACTAGAATACGGTGAAGGTCTTTAAGTGAAGTTTCGAACATTCTCCTAGCGACTCGAAGGAAATTCACTCGAATTGTTCCCGTCGGATTTCAGAGTTCGGGCTTCCTGGGAAAGGCATGTAGAAGCCCCGTCGGGGAAGTCCCAGCTCTGGGGCTCCAGGACTTGAACCTGAGGCCACCGAGGTGCAACTTGTCGCCATCCAGGCCCGCCGCCACGGCTGCCTGCGGTCGTTACGGGAGGTATGGGGCAGTGGGGGGCAGTGGGTGTGCGGGGGACTTGGGTATGGGGTTGCGCCCTGGAATCAGGCACCTCAGGCTGCTGCTATGAAGGATGTTTCGGTCGCAAGACTTTGGGGTGGTCTTGTCTCGGGACATCTTTCAGTTCCACCTCTGGACAGTGGGGCATTGCTCGGTTCCATACTTGTCGGACCCTTTCGCTGCATTCGGCCCGTTCAAGCAAAGTGAGAAAAACAGCAAACAAGGGAGTCTGAGGCATAGCATAGACATCTACACCTGGAACCCTGTGCCTGTCACGACTACAATAAAACCGTCCTCGCCCACATCATCAGCAGCGCCATCAGCGGGGGCCACCATCGTGATCATTTTGCATCGTGGACACCATCTTCAGCAGGAGCACGATGAAGAATTACAATTACAAAAACCCTATAAACCCTAAACCGTTTGTTGCAGCGCCTTCTTCAGCTCTTCCGGATCGTTGGGCGCCTTCCTTGGGCATCAAGTAAAAGGGCCGTCTGGTTTGGGCTGTTTGGGCGACCACGCCAGAAACTCGCAGCGCACGTTATGGACCGTCTTCTCTTATCTGCGGCCTATCCTTGACGTTTTAGCGGAACAGCCCTGCAACCCAGCCCCACATCTGGTTGCAGAACAGGGAGGAGTCTTCGCGAAGACGATTCTGTGATAGAGTGATAGAAACTGAGGTCAGCGTCATGCTAATATTCGGAAAAAAGAATGCAATGTAATCCTGAACCTGGCAGCCCTCCAAATCAAAGCCCTACATCCTGCAGCCCCAATCAAACGTTGTACCCCAGTCCCACCTCAGAGGCAGGATGCCTAAATTTCCCTACTCCCATGAGCCCATGTCAGAAGGTTGGGGTAGTCTAAGCAAGGTTTCGGAATGGGATGAGTGCTTCTGCTTGATGGATGACAGAGCTGTAAGGCTCCAGGGTTCTCGTAGTCTCCTGAGTTTGCCGAGTTGAGGTGAAGGGCCCGTTGCCCGCCTGCTTTTACAGAAAACGAGGGCCTTTTTTCGAGTTATGTTGGCAGTTGCTGTTACGGTGCTGAGTCTCATCTTCATCGTCAAGACCAATGTTTCACCATCATAGCTGAGATTGCAAGCATGGTCAGTCAGACGGCAGCTGTTGCTGGCACAGCAGCTACCACTGCAACCAACAGCAACAAAACAGAAACAACGGCTGAGAATAATGCACTACGAATCCATCCAAGCGACTCTTCTGCGAAGTAGGAGTGGAACAAAGCCTGCACACCGGCAGCAGATCTGAGAAGTTGGGATTGGGGCTCAAGAAGCTCAAGGTTTAGGGCAGATGCGGGATTCTCGGGCTTGGCGCTTAGGGTCCTCTGAAGCACCTGGGCGAGTTGAGAGTCCCGTCCGTCACTCTGAGAGCTAGACCAACGGCTCAAGGCAAAAGTTTGTAATTTCGTCCGCCCACCTCAGCTGCCTTGTCTTGGGCAGCAGCGCCACCCTGCCTCAAAGAGAAGCTGAAGCTTCTGGTTGTTAGGGGGTCTTGGGATGTCTTGGGTTGTGGTCCAGTAAAAATCTTAAAGCTCAGGTGCGGGGGTTTACATCAGGAAGAACCGGCTACAGGGTGGAACGCCATGCGCCATGCGCAACCAAGAGGTATAGACTCGATACAAGCCATGGCGGTGGTCACGAAGACGATCACAATTGTGATGATGATGATGATGATGACGATGATCAGGGCCACGGCCGGGTAGATGGTGCACCACGCTGGTGATGGTAATGGTTGTGATATATGCTTGGAAATGGCAATGGTAAGAGTTCGAATAAGGAATGATGCTGGTGATGATGATAATCTGATGGTGCTGCTACTAACGATCATACGCTACTACTGATGATAATGACTCTCATCATCGTGATGTTGACGACGATGATGACAACGACGAAGGTGCGAATATCGTTTACGATGGTGACGATGATGACGACGACGGCGATGGTGATGATAATGATGGCGTCGACGATGATGACGACAACGAAGATGATGGCGATGATGATAATGACAAACGATGACGACGATGACATGATGGCGATGGTGATGATGCTGGCGATGACGATGACGACGACGATGATGATAATGATGATGATGGTGCAGTCACAACCATTCAGGCTGCAAGTATTGTGGAGCAAACGGTCAGTATTGTTGAAGATTTTTTCGAGCTGCAAATAAACTGCTCTATCGCCGCTTAAGGGCTGCTTCGCAACTACGGTCTGTAACATGCGGGCTTCATCATGACCACCATCGGCAGCATCGCCTGCATCTTCAACGCCATCATCGCTACCACCGTCACAGCCATCATCATCACCACCACCACCACCATCATCATCACGGTCATGGTCACCATCATCACTGTCACGACCAGCGGCCGGTAGGCTTCGGTGAGGACTCTGTGCGCATCGAAGGTGCTGCTCACCTGAGCTGGGGTGTGCGTGGAATGCGGCCATCGCGCCCTGCAGCTTTGCAGCGAAGAGGCCAAGCCCTTCTCCGTGAAGGCGTAGGGCAGTCCCACCGCATCGAACTTGCCTTTTGCTATGGCAGGCTCACGGTGTTCGATGCAGGTCTAAGGATTTAGGCCTAGATTTAGACGCATGATCTACCATACCTTTCGTTGTGTGTCCTTAGCCCACATGCATCAGTTATCATCAGTTGTCCTAGGTGGTTGCGACGGATGGCCGATGAGTGAGTTCTATCGGTGAGGAAGTTCTGTCATGCGGGCCGAAAATCAAACAGCCTACGGAGGGCTGGCCGTGATACTGCATCGGAATGAGGTACTGTAAATTGCAACATGCAGAACCACATTGACGTGGCGTCTCAAGCCTTTGATGGAACATGTGTCAGCAGCAGACTACCATGATGATCCAGCACGGCATTGCTTCGCAAGATATGACAACAGGCAATCGCTACGTTACTGCAAAGCCTGATGGTTTATGCACAGAATGTGGACTGTCACCATGCACCAGCACCACTACCAGTCCTTTGCAATGCTGACTACTACTACTGCCTGCTGCTGTTTCTGACTACTACTGGTGACTACTGCTGTTTCGGAGGAAGCCCAGGCCTTTCATCCAGTCACCCATCTGCTTCACTTCTTCCTGCAACAGCGGGACTCGGGAATATCTCTTCGGGAAGCTTGAACCAATCACAACACTCGTCGGCATTCGGGGAATATCGAGTAGCGTCAGCTCAAGGGTCAGAAGTCTAATTCGGAATGCTGGTTCATGGACTTGTTACGATGTGGTTGCCTGCTACCCCGTCCAGTGCTCAAATTGTCGCCCGAAAGCATCGATTATGCAACTATGCACGAGCAGCTGGCAAAGCTTCTAACACATGTGTTCGAAGCCTTGCTCTTGCCAAACTTGTCCGCATAGGCCTGCATCCTTAGTCGAGTCGAGCTCGATACTTGTCGCAGGAATGAAAAATCTGGCGCCGCCCGACAACCTCAGCATCTTCATCTCAACCTTCTTGTGATCACAGAAAATTGAATCAAAACATCCACAGACAGGTCTTTCAGTCACCTGCCAAGCAGTTTCGCGTATACCGGAGGAGCAGTGGGATTGAGGGTGCAAGGGGTCATGGTCTCAGGGATGTTGAGACGTCTATGCAGCATCCATCTCAGCTAGCCGGGACCCCAATGCCTCGAAGCCCTGAGCGGTCCTTGCCTAATGCAGCTGCGAGTCTTGCTGGATGGCTTGTCGGATGCTTGGGGATTCAGCTGATATGGCAGCCAGCGCACTTCAAAGTCAACGTCAGAGAACCTCACAGAGCAGAGCCAGGTTTTTATGAGCCAGAAACACTACACACGGATCAAAAATCGGCTACCCACACACGCAACCAATGGCAATCAAATCCGAGCTCGTCGGAAGAGGACGTGTTTGCTTGTCTGCCCTTTATTGCCTTTACCCCGCATGAACCAGGACCTCACATGGACGCCAGCCGCAAGAATAGCCTGGAAAGCGTCATGCAAACACACGGAAGCTTCCAGTGGGCCCACTTGCTTTCAGAATGTCCTTCCCTGTCATCGACTGAACCCTGCAGGCGTCGTCGTCGTCGTCGCGATGGCGGTTCCGGCAGTACTGTCAGGAGCAGCGGTAGCAGCACCCATTTGAGAGGCACCGTGGCTGTCATGTGGCTGTTGCTTGCTGACTGTGATAAGAGCTATAATATCAATATTGATAATGAGATTACCTTTCATGATTAGACATTCGTTATCGTAACACTATTGATACCAATAATAAAGCAATATACACAACAACTGTTATTGTAACATACAGGTAACTGGTAGCATCCTTCTTTCTGGGCCCGACCCGAGGAGCCTCCGCTCCCCGGGCTCTTTTTGGGGTTTAGCCGAGGCTCTGCTTCATGGCTCCCTCCAGATTGCGCTTCCCGATCCAGCAGAAGGGTCAGACGACGTCGCTGATCACATCGACCATGACCTATTGGGGGAGGGGGTGAAATTTGTTGTTAGGTTCGGGAGTTTTCGGGCGTAGAGTTCAAGGCCTGGGGGACAGGGACATTGCCTGCAGCTTTCGGGTGATGGCCGTACAAGCCCTGAGCAAACAGATCCCCGCCATTACCAGAACCATCAACGTCATCGCCAGAACATGACTATTCCCACTTGTTCCTGAAGCGTAGCAATTCAGCAGTACTCGCCTTCTTCTTGGCCGCCATTGCTCCCGACTTGCCCGTGCAGTCGCGGGCCACTTTCGCCGAGAAGGGTTTCGGGGCGCACACGCTGCAGCCCAGACGTCCGATGCCGGGTAAGGTTCAGCGCCGCAGGGTGCTGGGTTGAAGGGACAAGAAGCTCAGAGAAACGCGCCAGGTTCAGCTGTCTTTCAAAGTCTGCGCGCTCTTAGTCGTACCCGAGGCGATTCAGAAACCGCTGCAATGTGTTCCCCCCGCCCAGAAACAGCACCGCAGGGATCCAGAATAACAGCTGGGGCGGAGGGGGCTCTGGGACTAATGAACGGCGCTGCCTCTCCGTGTTGGCGTAGGACGCCCTTCAGACCTGGTATTTGGAGTTCAGGCGGTTTTGGATTTGGGGCTTCGTGTTCAGGTGCAAGGCTGGCGAACTGCTGCCCGTGCCTCAGAGCCTAAAGCTGATACCCCAGAAACCTTCGACCCCGAGAGCTAATGCAGCCGTGCTTGCATAGGAGATCCTGTTGACACCAAAGCGGAACCCCACATGTGGAAGGCGCACAAGAGCTACTCAAAGGACGTGTTCACAGTGAATACGCTCAAAAGGGCGATGCGAAATCGAAAGCTTGGCTGCTAAACCCAAACGACAAGCTGCATTCGAAATCGAAAGCTTGGCTGCTAAACCCAAACGACAAGCTGCATTGATGGATCCAAAAGGGGCACCAAACACGAACCTCAAACTCCAATCACTCACACCCTGGACCCTAGCGCCCTGAATCCCAAAAAAAACCCAAACATCATCGATCATCGAAGCACCGAGAACCGGGCGAATCAGATCCTGCCCCAAGCGCTCCACGACGCTCCGGAGCCAGTCCTATTCGATAGCTGTGCGCAAGGATTGTCTCAGACGTCCTGATAGTGAAGAGACAGGACGATTACGATGGTGATGCTGGTGATGAGTATGGCCATGTTCCCAGCAATCGAAGCTCCACCTCCTTTGCAAGCCGTTTCTACACACCTTGTTCCTGCTGAAGCTATCCGCGAGCCAGCCTAATCCAAGCGTTTGAGAACACTCGATGTCTAGTCGATGCATCCTATTGGTGTGGTACACCCCAAACACACAGCCGCAGAACCCCAAAAGGAGCCAATCGCCTTAAGCTCCAGGCACATCTAAGCACCAAAGCGGATTTGCTTTTAAGGTTTCTGGTATGGTGGTTTTCAGGGTAGAGATCATGGTTTGAGGACCCGTGTTTACACCTAGGGATTCGCTGTGCGGTTTGGGGATTCAACAGGCAAGCCTGAACCAATCCACCCACCTCGAGAGCCGAGCGTTCGATGGCCTCCGCTATTTCAAGGCCTGTCAGTTACTGCCATTTCTCAGTACTGCTGATGGACAAACTCCGCCAATGTCAAGAGCTAGGGACAGACCACAACTCCCGTTCCTGTGGTACTTCGTATCGCAGCTGCTATCACTCTGATTTCTGCAGCAAGTGCTGCTCGTGCCATCGCTAGTATTCGTCCGCTTGCTCTAGTTCACGCGGAACTTGCGACCACAACAACTGGTTCTTCTGTTCATATTGGCAAAGGAAATGCGAGTGTGGGTTGTGCTTCTCCCCAATAGCTTAATGAGTTTTCGCGTGTCATTATGGGTGTTATATGGATTTCTGGGTTCTGGGAGGATTTCTTGATAGGGTCTCAGACTTTATATGTGTATGAGACTGACTCACTGGGCGCATTCTCTGGTGTTCCCGGATTCGGCGTTTGGGCAGAGTCACCTGCGTGGAGTGTTTAGGTGTTGAAATTGAGGCTTTTCGAGTTTGGGCTGACCTGGGCTTTTCGGGAGGGGGTCATTGCAGGCCCCCGATCACTGCGACTTTGCAAAAAGCCATGTTCAGCAGTGCATTCTGCTCGTCTGGCTTCTTGCTCAACCCGGAACTGAACCATGCAGCCCTGGCAGGACAGTACATAAGACAAAAGAGCGTATTTCAAATTGCTGTCGGCTGGGCACGTCAGCGGAAAGTAGTCGTGCGTAACGGATCTCTTACCCACAAGACATCCCAAGACGTTGCGCCTTACACCAGAACCCTGAAGTCTAAATCCCGCAAAATCTTCTCCCGGAGCCCGCATTTCTGCATCCAAGCCAGGAAATGAAGCATGCAGAATCTAGGGACCCTCAGTGATAGGCTAACTCGAGGACTACTCCTTGCGCAATTTGAGGAGGGATCCTGGCTGGCGGGTTCGGGCGTCAGGCCTAGGCTGCTCATGGCGCTGTGAGCGTGGGGGTGCTCCTGTTTCATGGCAGGAGCGGCATCGCGGTAATCACCCTCGAGACTCTGGAGCTCTGACATTTAAAGCTTCCGGGCTTCAGTCCCTTCTTGCAGGGTGTGAAGAAAGGGCTTCTCGCACAAATCAGCTCTCGGCAAGGCCTCACGCCCGTGTCCATGATCGTGACCTTCTCCATGGCCGTCCCCTTGGCCATCACACTTCTGGCATTCAGCTGGCTTAGACCAAGGGTCGGTACACAGCACGAAAGTTACAGGTAAAGCGAGCCCCCATGTTTCGTTGCTTCACTCGTACCTCTGCGCATATTACCACTACGGCGACTTCTGCTGCTGCTCCTATAAATAGACCCGGGTTCTTATTCCGACCCCTTGCCCTACAACTCTGCGCCTACCACTGCCACATTCCGCACCACTACTGTACCATGCAAACTGACGGCCCTAAAACCTGCCAGATTCTGGGGAATGAGCCATGGTCGGCATCCGACGTCAGGAAGTGCGCATCCTGACTTCCAGCTGCTTATCGCGTGTGCCGGGCATGAGGGTTTGGTCTCAGAGCGAGGGTTGAGTAGGCTTGGGACCAACTATACTGGACCGGGCACCCCCAAACTGCAAAGCCGGGGGCACATGAAGTCGGATGTCAAGCTATGGAGCTGGAAACGTTGGCTTCTAGTTTGGGCGGGGGGCTAAAGCTCAATGTAATCCAAGTATTCAGAACTGGATGCATAGATGCAATGGTCTGCACGTGCGTCAGATCAGGTGACATCACAGCATGTTCTGGTTAAGAAACAGGGCTTCCAAACTCCCAATTAAGACTTAGGTCAAAGCCAACTCCAAGCCGATGTCCCAAAATGCTCAATCATGCAAAGCCTAACTTTGCAACTCTCCGACAGCCGCGCCAGCGAGATCGCCCCGTCGAGTGAGAAAGAGTTCACCTGCAGGACCTGCGCCAAATTCACCTGAGCCATGAGAGGCCGAGAGCCTTGGAGACAAGGCCTAAGGCCGGGGTCGTGAGATCGGGTTGAGAATCAGCATTTAAAGACAAGGACTTCATAGCAAGTTTCACCAGGATGTCGATCTTTGAGGCAGGCATACTCCTGCTGCTCTTGCACAGCACATTGCCCTTTTTAACGCTCGCTTTGAGCGGTCTGCTTTCTCGATATTTTAACTGTCGTAGGCAGCCGGTAATTTCACGCCAACTCCTTTACTGTTTCTGAGCACGAGCCCCCAGCATTGCGGAAGCAACTCACCTCACGTCCTGGACCAAACACCCCTTGCTCCAGAAATGAGTTCAAGGGAAGGGATCTTAAACTCTACTCTGAACAAACCCTTTCGGCCATGTACCCTGTGATCCATTGTCGAGCCGATATCGAACCCAAAAAACCCTCATAGAAAGGGCCTTGCCATGTCGGCAGGGGACCACCCGCACGGCCGGGTTCACCTCGCGAATGCGAGAGGACACCTGGCTGTCAGAGCAATTACGCCAATTAGGTTGAGGATATGTGTGATCCCTGCAGTCAAACATCACGCCCACCCCCTAACGCCCTGAGCCGGGCTTCAGCAAAGCGCCTGGTCCCTCTGAGCCGAATCCACGAGGTCGCACTTGTTCAGCAAACAGACCTCCACGGAGTTGCTATCGGAGTCTCAGCAGCACTGGCAGAAGCAGCGGTAGCAGGAGTAAGAGTGGGAGCCGGAGTTCGAGTAGTGTTGCTGTTGTCTTAGGGTTTAGGGCTGTTTCTGCTTATCGCCAACGCACGATTGAGTAGGGCTGCAGGCCCCGTCGTAGCAACATCCTGTGAACACCCGAGTGGAACTCGCAATACGGCATACAGTCTAGACGGACGTAGGAACGCACTCACAACTTCGCAAGCACGTAAGATTGTTGATGGGCCCAATCAGGTAGACAAGCAGAGCTTAGGAATCCCTGCACCGCAAGGCCGCAAGCCGGCCAGGCCCCCGGCGTCGCTGATGGCAAGCTGCTCTCTGAGGAGCTGCCTGGTAGCTTCTCTGAGAAATTACAGCTCAATGCATCTAAAGCCTCGAGTTTACCGACGTAGGGCTTTTAGGGATGTGGCGCTGTGGGGTTTAGAACTGTAAGGTAAGGGTAATTTCGCACCTAGTACTGGCGTTTTGGGTTTATGATTTGTAGTGAACTGTTGAACTGGTGGTGCTTCCAGGTATGCTTGGGATTCCTTGATATCATGAACAACCACTAGAACCTGATTTGCTGACACTCCGTGCGCCTAGTTGAAAAGAGTCTAAGCTCCCGTAAACCACAAACCCTAAAAGACACCCAAACCCTTCACACTCCCAAAACCCAGTTTCAAAACCTGACAAATCCCCACAACCAAGACCCTAATGCTAAACATCTCCCAGACCCAAACCCTAAGGCCCCATTGTTTTCCAAACCCAGCTCGAAAAAGCACCCGAGCACAAACCATGCCAAACCACAACCCTAAAACTCCAAAACCCAAACCCTGAACCCTGTCTACCATTTGCTTAAGAAACCCCCAAAAAATAGAGATAATAATCCCTATATTACCCCCATAAGGAATATATTTTTCATTTTTTGGGGTTCTTAAGCAAATAGTAGCTGTCAATTTCCAAACCCAAGCCAAAACCCTGAAACAAAATAGACTAAACCTCAACACGCTGCACTCCCAAACCCAAACATATTTTGTACCTCCAAGCCCTAAAACCTCGCAAACCCAAATCCCAAACCCTGCAGCTCCCAAACAACTCCCAAAATCAAACCCTGAACTCCCAAACCCCAAAGACTCTCAACCTTCCAAACCCTAACACCTAACGACTCCCAAACCCATACCTCTCAGCCCCGAGCGCCACATCTGCGCCAGCGGCACCCTCGGAGGCAACGCCGCCCTGGGGCTCCATTACGCTTTTTTGTATGTCGCCCCTTTTCCATCCGCCACACGTGTTAGTTGGAAAGTCTATTAGGCTGAAGCACTGGGCCGGAACTGCAACAGCGGGATTCACCACCACACAGCACCCAAATAACCCGCAGACTGACCCCTCCGTTGGCTGTTCCTTAGATGTCCACTGGCTATCACTCTACTGAGTACCACAAACCACTTCATTACGGCTTAGGGTTTAAGGGTTTAGGGGTTTAGGGTGCTTGGAGTTTTCGGGCTAAGGCTTGACGAGGGCTTTGGAGATGGAGGGCCCGAGCTGTCAGGGCATGCAGAGAATAACGGAAAGCAGTTTTCAAGGTGCTCAAAATGCAGAGGCTTCGGTGCTGAAGATGTGGGACCTGGAGGAACTGGGGTCTTGCGAGCCTCGGACTCCGACCTTCCAGTCTGAAACGGTGTGCTGCAGACCTGCACCTAAAAAATGCTCGTCATGAGTCCACTACGAGCTTTTCCGCTTGCATGTTATACCTAAACGTCTTACTGCCCTGCCGCAGTGGCCCCTTGTGATCCCTTCGTCCTTTCGCCCCCATCTGCAATCCATCTGGAAGTGAAGAGCCTACCCTAACACAGCCTCGAGCTGGTCAAAGCTGGCTGCATCACCTCGGTGGCAGAAGGCTGCTGTCAAGCCGGGCCTTTTGCAGCTCAGGGTGAAGTAGCTAGAACATGCTAGACGAAGATGTGTTGAGTCTTCATACTTTATACTGACGCTACTACAACTACTCACTAATCTGTTCTGTATACGAGGATGCTATGCAATACAGCACACAAGATATCACAACTTGGCACAACACAAGACAAGACAACACGGTGCAAGACAAGACCGTGCTAGAAAATGTTGCATGTCTTCAGCCATGGCTGCTTGATGGGTGTTTGCAGTCCGTCGCAAGAAGCGGACATAAACTCGCACAGCAACCAAACACCAGTTTCGTTGAGCAACATCTCAACAGGAGTACAGGATTCTGAATGGCATCAGAGCAACGTGTGGCAGGGCCGCACTACATTGTACTGGAGTACATCAGCAGCTTCTGCTACTACATCACAAGACGGGCGAATGCTACATTACCTGGCATTGCCAGGCGCTGCAGTAGACTACCTCCACACAAGTATTGCATACCATGCCATGCCATGGCATACATGCACAGCACATGCACACATGTAGACATATGTACACGTATGTAACAGGCCGAAGCCATGCAGAATTAAAAACAAAAATGTATACTCTAGTACTTCACTATGTCACACGTCCTGCATAGAATGCATGACATTGCGCAACACCACTACTGTACATAATTTGTGTGACCTTTGACCAACCTTACATGGCAGCAATATCAAGTTCCACATCATTCTCCTACCTTTGCATGGCAGCACATTGCATTGCAGCTCTACACCAGCGTTCCAGTATAATCCATTACAGTAGATTGCAGTCCTTTGCGGCGCATTCGGTTACGGAGATTTTTAAGCAGCACTACACTACACCTCATCATAATGCATTGATTGCAGTGCCGGCAATGCATACAGTACTCTCACTCAATGCACACATGCATGCCTGCCAAATGCATACATTACATACCTAGGACGCCTGAGGGGCCTGCGGCCACCGTCCGCCTACTCGCATCCCTTCGCAGCATAAGTACCCGGCAAACACAGACCACGCTGTCAAGCTTGAAAGATGCCTTCCAGGTGCATCTGGGATGGACGGGCTTTCTGACACCCTGCGCTGTTTGTAAGAAATCACAAGATTGCGATAACGGGAACTTGCGGTTCACACCCTGGACTCGGAGAAAACACCTTGCAGGCCTTACTTTGCCTTGTGGTTGCAAACACAAGCTGGGTGTCAAAAGCTCAAGCTTTCCGGGTCCAGGATGTAGACTTGAAGCCTAAGACACGAAGTCGACATCAAGACCAAGGTCCTCAAAGTCACAAGCCCCACCCTGCCTTGCCCTCCCAATCCTGAGATCCCATGTGAAGGAGCCGTGGTCGTAAGGCCATTTTCGGTCGGTGCTTTGTCCCTCTGCGAGGGAATCCGTGCTGATTGCGCGATGGCTCTCTACCGAGAATAGCCCTGCTCGGAAAGGAATGGCCCTCGCCTCATAGTCATCATGTTGACTATAATGGAGCTTGCGGCCCTGCGAACTCTACTTAGATCCGTAGGAGATGCTCGTATCGTAAATGTAGGAGCATGAAGGTACTGAGCCAGATGCAGGACAGAAACTGATGATAGTGATGACGATAGCGATGGTGGTGATGATGGTGATGGCGCGATGGCAGTGACGGACGGTTCTCAGCATCACTGTCATCCCCTGCTCATGCTGACCATCATCTTTGCCAACCCCATTATCATCACCGTCATCATCAACCTTCCGCTCCAGCAGTAGTCAGGCTTTGTTGGCCTAGCAGGCGGAGGAGGGGCAGCAGCCGAAAAAGCACAGGCAACGGTTGATGCAGGAGGAGGAGGGGGTCGGGAGTAGGAGGAGCAGCTGAGAGCAGAATCCCAGCAGCTGTCGCAGTTGCTGTGGTTTGTAGTTGTGTCCGTCGCTGGGGTCGTAGTAATGTCCCGCTGATGCTGGAAATTCTCTACGGCTGTAGGACCAGTCCTACAGTGGGTCTAAAATCTGGAAGAGGCTGTGCCTCTGAGATTTCGGCTGAGGCTCAGATGTTAATATGCGAGGGCCAGGGGCGGTCGACAAAGCGAGCCGCCGAGTGGAAATCTGCGAGTTATCGCACTCAACCTGCCGCAAGTTCGGGATTCTAGCTTTGAGAGTCCAGGCTCAAAGTGAAGTCGTTTCTTCAGGGTTCGTGACACTTCGCAGCATTCGGCAATGAGGCGATGCTTCAAACTTGCAGGAGCTTGAAGTCGAAAAACACGTGCATTGGCGAGTTTGGCCAAATTTCCTGCCACAGCAGTAGCGACGGCAACTACCACCTCCACGAGGACTGCTGCTGCCGCTACTCCTACTTCTGCTGCTGCTGTCGCTATTGCTGACACCGCTTCTACTTCCGTGGCTCCAGAGTAGTGTCGCCACCCGATCATAGAAATTGAAGCCTAGTTCACGGTAACTCCATCGTGTTGCTGAAGGTGAAGAGCGCGACGATCGTGATCGTGCGCTGCTTGAGACTGACACCGAAGATGCTGACGATGATAACGATTCTGAGGCACAGGGCATATGCGAACAAGGACGGCGGGCTCAATGATGATGAAGCTGAAGAGGATGGTGATGATGCCGATAGTTGTGCTGTGGCAAGGAAGTCGTAGGGAAGCTGATGATGCGAATGCAGGACACACACTCAGAACAAGATGAGGATGACTCATCTACCCTGTCACTGTTAAATTGGTGCTTACTTTTGGGGGACAGCTACTCTTCTGCTCGCATGTCATCGATGCGTCACCTGTGGCTGGTACTTAACCGGTCTTGATGCATCTACTGCCGCTGTTAACGTCATTCTTACGGCCATAGACCATGTTAGTCAAGTTGGCACTACGCTGACGGCCACTTTGTGTTTCCACGATGTGGAAACCTGCCTTCTGGCGTCACTTACCGTGTTCTATTCTCTTCAAAATTAGGATCCTCTGGAAAGCAACCTGGGCCAGTCATCTCTAGGTAGCTACGTCTTCGTACGAGTACGCGACACTGGTCTGTTCCGCTTCGCGGACAGACCCCTGCACATGGCAGCAGCGATAAAACTTCGGTCAAAAGCCCGTAAAGGTAGGCAGGGTCGAGTGTGCGCTTTCTTCCGCTACCGGTGGTTGCTGTTACGGAAATGTATCGCTGTTTTCCTGCAGGAATAGCCAACCCCGCATGAATCTTCGAAAGGTGAATCGTTCCTGAAAGGCAGGGGCCGCCCCTGTGAATTCCAAATCCCGCTACGAGCTGTCTCTGCTCAGAAGAAGCAGCCCAAAGCAAGAATCCTAGACCCAAAACAACGAGGAAAGGGCCATGTACCGGGCACTTGATTTTGTCGGGTAAAGAATGCGCTCTGGAGTGGGGAAGGCGCACTGGACCCCCTTACCATCCCTTACACGGCCTCAACCTGAACTCTCAGATTCTTTCGACCTCAGGTCTGGATCGTGGGCAGCTGTGGCCTGAGCGGTCGATCTGGAGGGGCTTCAGGAACTTGGACTTATGTCTTTGGCAGGTGGGGCCAGGGGCTTCGGCAGACGGTGGGGCCCACACCCGTCAACAGAAATGTGGGGACAGGAATTCAATGACAAGCTCACAGTTGTGAGGGGAAGGCCTTTGATTGCACTATTGGAGCGTCCAGCAACCTCACATTGAATTCAACAAAATCCCAACCCTCCCGAAGAAAATCTACTGCTTCTTATTGAAAGCATGCACCTGCAGTGAGAAATTACAGTAGGAATTTCAAGCAATTTGGCGATTGTTCGCAAACAAGCCTAACTAAAGCACCCACCTCCAGCAGGTTGCAGATTAACGATGGAAGTTTGCTGAGAAATCACAGCCAACAGAAGACCTACATGCACGTTTAAACACACCGGCGGAAGGTTTATGCACACAGGAGTATGTGTACCAATATCAAGCGACATGTGGCACGAGATACCTTCACAAATTTGAGGACTTGGGACAAATACAGAGCAGGCCAGTCTCGAACAGAAGAGACCTGAAGCAGACTGCGAGCAAGCATCAACCAGCTGTCTGGAGGCATGCCGGAACGCAAACATGTGTTTCTTTAAGTGCTGGGAAGCGTACAGCAGGCATACTGGCAAACTCTTTGATGCTGGTTGAACGTGGCACCGAGTTCCCAGATGCGTAACAACATTTGGGACCTAGAAATCCCGAAGTTTCCCAAACTACACGCTCCTGAGCCTGCACCCAGCCGGCTAAAACTAACCCCAAGCTGAACCCTGAATGTTGCAGAGGTCCCCAGCCCCTCCGAAACCACTGCGGCAGGGTAGCAGCCCATCTGCATTTGGGTCTACGTCTAGAAACTCCGCAGTGTCCCCCATGTCCAGGACCTTGGAGCTTGGATGCATGCTTTGGTTAGGCTTGGAGGCTGCTTGAAGATTGAAAATTGTAAATTCAATTTTCGACCTTTTCGGGAACAGTGTCCGAGCTGGCGGTTGTAACGAGAGAAGCAGGGATTCAGGGTTTGGGCTTGGGATTTCTGAAACACGACCGTTTGCCAGCCAGTGGGAGCAGCGGAGACCTGAAGCAGCCTGAACCTTCCGCCCGACCCTCCGAATTTGGAAGTTCGGAGTCCTCATGATCTTATGGGAAGCTTGTACTAGGTCTTGGTTTTGGGAGGCTGAGGATGCCGAAGCCCTGCTAAGTCCAAAGCTCCCACCCTCGACAGTAAGTAAGACTCGACCACCCTCCGTTCTCAAACCCCTGAAGCCAACGTCCGAAGTGGGTTGTCTACACCCTCGCACACATGCACGTGCACGCGCTCGGGGCACGCTCGGCCTACTTGCAACCACCAGACAGTTCACTTCAAGAAATTGGAGCTCGCAGCCCAGGGGCGGTTTGCCCGTCGGGGCTGTCAGCCAGGTATCCTCAGCCGCATGTGTTCCCTCTCCGGAAAAATGAGTTCAGACTTCAGGCAGCCTAGGATTCTTCAGGTCCGGTTCACAAGACGAGGATTGTCTGCTGCTGGACCAGGAGCTCTGATATAATCTGCACGATCCGGTGTGATGCGGATGACGGTACTGAAGATTAAGACGACGATGGCGGGTCGGTGAGTAGTGATGGGTGATGTCAGGGTGCTGGTGGTCATTGCGGCGGTGGTGCTGCAAGCGGCCGTAGCGGCGGCACGGTGATCGTGTAATAGCACTACCTATGGTAGTTTATGCTTCCGAAGTTCTTCCCGATATTGTAGGCCCCGGACATCCAATAACAGGTGCTGGGTCACTCCGCTCTCTCATCCCAAGCAAGCCTCAACGCTCCAAAAAGCCTGAAGTGTTGCACCCCCCCCCCCCCCGAAAAAATACGCTATGCCGTAAACCCTGAACCCTACATGTGGACCCTAACCCTAGACCCCATCAACTACAATCAACCCGAAACACCTCAGATCCTTGCGCCACCCCTTCCAGACCCCGGAAGCCGGACAGCTCTCAGGCGGCCAGGAGACCCTCCGGCGGCGCCAGGGGCATCATGCCGGCCATGCTCCCCGAGAAGACCTCACCGGGTTTCAGCTCTGGGGTTCTCCATCTTTCTACCTTTGCTTAGTAGGGAATGGAGCAATGGGCCACAGTTATAACTACTATTACTACCATTCTTCTGCATTCCCTACGAACCAAAGGTAAGTCTTCCAGGCTCAAGTTTCAGTGTCCATTCTTTAGGGCTCAGAACAAGGTTCCGGGCTTGGGGCATGGAGTTCAGGGCTTTGTGCTGGCTT